TGTCCACCTGTGCTCCTGTGCTCTAACCACCATGTCCACCTGTTCTCTAGCCCACCTGTCCACCTGTTCCCTAACCCACTTGTCCACCTGTGCTATAACCCACCTGTCCACCTGTTCCCTAACCCACCTATCCAACTGTTCTCTAGCCCACCTGTCCACCTGTTCTCTAGCCCACCTACTTGTTCCCTAACCCACCTGTCCACCTGTTCCCTAACCCACCTATCCAACTGTTCTCTAGCCCACCTACTTGTTCCCTAACCCACCTGTCCACCTGTTCCCTAACCCACCTATCCAACTGTTCTCTAGCCCACCTACTTGTTCCCTAACCCACCTGTCCACCTGTTCCCTAACCCGCCTATCCAACTGTTCTCTAGCCCACCTACTTGTTCCCTAACCCACCTGTCCACCTGTTCCCTAACCCACCTATCCAACTGTTCTCTAGCCCACCTACTTGTTCCCTAACCCACCTGTCCACCTGTTCCCTAACCCACCTATTCAACTGTTCTCTAGCCCACCTACTTGTTCCCTAACCCACCTGTCCACCTGTTCCCTTACCCACCTATTTAACTGTTCTCTAACCCACCTGTCCACCTGTTCCCTAACCCACCTGTTCCCTAACCCATCTGTCCACCTGTTCCCTAAGCCACCTGTCTACCTGTTCTATAACCCACCTTCCACCTGTTCTCTAACCCACCTATCCAACTGTTCCCTAACTCACCTGTCCACCTGTTCTCTAACCCACCTTCCACCTGTTCTCTAACCCACCTATCCAACTGTTCCCTAACCCACCTGTTCCCTAACCCACCTGTCCACCTGTACCCTAACCCACCTGTTCCCTAACCCACCTGTTCCCTAACCCACCTGTTCCCTAACCCACCTGTCCACCTGTACCCTAACCCACCTATCCAACTGTTCTCTAACCCACCTGTCCACCTGTACCCTAACCCACCTGTCCACCTGTGCTCTAACCCACCTGTTCACCTGTTCCCTAACCCACCTGTCCACCTGTTCCCTAACCCACCTGTCCACCTGTGCTATAACCCACCTGTCCACCTGTGCTATAACCTACCTCATGTCTACCTGTGCTATAACCCACCTGTCCACCTGTGCTCTAACCCACCTGTTCACCTGTTCCCTAACCCACCTGTCCACCTGTTCCCTAACCCACCTGTCCACCTGTGCTATAACCCACCTGTCCACCTGTGCTATAACCTACCTCATGTCTACCTGTGCTATAACCCACCTGTCCACCTGTTCTATAACCCACCTGTCCACCTGTTTCTTAACCCACCTACCTGTTCCCTAACCCACCTGTGCCCCACCTGTTCTTTAACCCACCTGTGCTCCACCTGTGCTCTAACCCACCTGTCCACCTGTTCCCTAACCCACCTGTCCACCTGTTCCCTAACCCACCTACCTGTTCCCTAACCCACCTGTGCCCCACCTGTTCTTTAACCCACCTGTGCTCCACCTGTGCTCTAACCCACCTGTCCACCTGTTCCCTAACCCACCTACCTGTTCTCTAACCCACCTGTCCACCTGTTCCCTAACCCACCTACCTGTTCCCTAACCCACCTACCTGTTCCCTAACCCACCAGTCCACCTGTATTATAACCCACATGTGCTCTAACCCACCTGTTCACCTGTTCCCTAACCCACCTGTCCACCTGTTCCCTAACCCACCTGTCCACCTGTGCTATAACCCACCTGTCCACCTGTGCTATAACCTACCTCATGTCTACCTGTGCTATAACCCACTTGTCCACCTGTTCTATAACCCACCTGTCCACCTATTTCTTAACCCACCTACCTGTTCCCTAACCCACCTGTGCCCCACCTGTTCTTTAACCCACCTGTGCTCCACCTGTGCTCTAACCCACCTGTCCACCTGTTCCCTAACCCACCTGTCCACCTGTTCCCTAACCCACCTACCTGTTCCCTAACCCACCTGTGCCCCACCTGTTCTTTAACCCACCTGTGCTCCACCTGTGCTCTAACCCACCTGTCCACCTGTTCCCTAACCCACCTACCTGTTCTCTAACCCACCTGTCCACCTGTTCCCTAACCCACCTACCTGTTCCCTAACCCACCTACCTGTTCCCTAACCCACCAGTCCACCTGTATTATAACCCACATGTGCTCTAACCCACCTGTGCCCCACCTGTTCCAGGCCAGGTGCTAGCCAGAAATGTGTCACTTTGGGCACGAGCCTGAACTCCTGCAGCAACACGTCACTGACCAACCTCTACAACAGCGCTGGCTGGATCTTCACCACCCCGACCTTCGTCCGGTGTCTGTCTGCCAACGACCCATCATCAGATGCAGTGCTACAACTCTTCCAGCTGTAAGTTTACTTGACCCCTCCTCACATTTGTCCAAACTTGACCCCTCACATTTGTCAAAATTTGACCCCTCACATTTGTCCAAACTTGACCTCTCACATTTGACCAGATTTAACCTTTGACATTTGTCCACAGGCTGTCTGATTTCTTCTGTAACGGCACGTGTGTCAAGGCCCAGGTGCAAACTTTGATTGGCAGCTGCTCCCCTAATCCACCCGCTAATCTCATTAGCTTGCTCGCTCTGCTCTGCTGACCTGCCGACTGACTTCTTGACCCGCTGACCTCTTGACCCGCTGACCTCTTGACCTGCCAGTCTAGCTAATCAATGTGTCTTGAATGTTTTATGTTTGAAGTAATAAATGAAGGTGTCCGACACAGTTTGATTGTGTTCTTATTGTGTCTTCTTATTGTGTCTCCTTATTGTGTCTTCTTATTGTGTCTTCTTATTGTGTCTTCTTATTGTGTCTCCTTATTGTGTCTTCTTATTGTGTCTTCTTATTGTGTCTTCTTATTGTGTCTTCTTATTGTGTCTCCTACCATCGTGTTGTTGTAAGCCGTTAACAAAACTCCCTCAAGTTGATTGTTTTATATCCAGCAGACACAGTAGCTCAGTGCCACTCGCTTTACCCCCCTCCCTTATATAAACTACGTCACCCCCCCCCCTCCCCTCGGGAGGTAAGGTTTAGACGTTTATAACAAACTTAATGGTGGGGAATGGGATCTTCAAAATGTGACGTAGTTTTTAATTTTTTAAATCTTACGAAAGTAAGGAAAGTTTAAATTTACTGTTTTATATGACAAGATTAGGGGGAGGGGGGTGGAAGTAGGGGCAGTTTTTACACTCCACCCCAGTAGGTGACTCACCGTTTCTAGCGGCACTGGATATATCGGTAATGAAATCACACCCCTACCCCACTGTGAAAGGGTTTCAATCCGTCAGTGTTAAGTTAATGAATTCTCTCAACTGCTCAAAGTTTTGATCCTTTAATTCCCTCCCAGATCTACTACTAAAATCTTTGATTCGTCAGCTAAAGGGTCCGCTTTAAACCACGGGAACTCTTGACACTTTTTTATTCCCCTTGAGCTGACACTTGATGTAGAGTTGTCGCACCTAATGAACCAACTCTAATCAATGTGAACCTGTCGAGTTGCGCCCCTTACATTGTGTTTGTAACTGCTGTTTAAATTGGGGAGCGTAATCAAAGGGAAATAACTCTCTAGTGAAACAAGCTACAAAGGGAAATAACTTCTCTAGTGAAACAAGCTACAAAGGGAAATAACTTCTCTAGTGAAACAAGCTACAAAGGGAAATGATCGCAACTTGATCTCAAACACCAGTATTGGTGAGACACAACCACCAGTAATGGTGAGACACAACCACCAGTATTTGTGAGACACAAGTACACAGTTATACAACTTACAAAATGACTACCATGGACACAAGACGTAGCAGACTGTACCAGCAGAGCTCAAGTGGTCCATGTTTGAAATAGTCTCACACAGAAAATTCGGTGTCATTCTGTGATGAACTAGTCTGTGATAAGTTATTGTCTGTCGGTAAAGGAACAGCCCCCCCCCCCCTAAATCCAGGTTAAGATTCCCTGTGTCTTTAAGTTTCCCCTAAATCCAGGTTTAGAGCCCCTGTGTCTTTAAGTTCCCGCTAAATCCAGGTTTATAGTCCCTGTGTCTTTAAGTTTCCCCTAAATCCAGGTTTATAGTCCCCATGTCTTTAAGTTTCCCCAAAATCCAGGTTTAGAGTCCCTGTGTCTTTAAGTTTCCCCAAAATCCAGGTTTAGAGTCCCTGTGTCTTTAAGTTTCCCCTAAATCCAGGATTAGAGTCCCCGTGTCTTTTAGTCCCCCCTAAATCCAGATTTAGAGTCCCCGTGTCTTCCCCCTAAATCCAGGTTTATAGTCCTTGTGTCTTTAGGTTCCCCCTAAATCCAGGTTTAGAGTCCCTGTGTCTTTAAGTTCCCTCTAAATCCAGGTTTAGAGTCCCTGTGTCTGTAAGTTCTCCCTAAATCCAGGTTTATAGTCCCTGTGTCTTCCCCCTAAATCCAGGTTTATAGTCCCTGTGTCTTCCCCCTAAATCCAGGTTTAGAGTCCCTGTGTCTTTAAGTTTCCCCAAAATCCAGGTTTAGAGTCCCTGTGTCTTTAAGTTCCCCCTAAATCCAGATTTAGAGTCATCGTGTCTTTAAGTTTCCCCTAAATCCAGGTTTAGAGTCCCCGTGACTTTTAGTCCCCCCTAAATCCAGATTTAGAGTCCCCGTGTCTTCCCCCTAAATCCAGGTTTATAGTCCCTGTGTTTTTAAGTTCCCCACAAAACCAGGTTTAGAGTCCCTGTGTCTGTAAGTTCCCCACAAAACCAGGTTTATAGTCCCCATGTCTTTAAGTTCCCCTAAATCCCTACATATAGTTTGAACATGTGCATGATTGTGAAAGCTACCGTTGGCTGAGAAGTGGGGTCAATATTTTCCGCCAAGTGTCGCAGTACGCGAATGAATACATTCCTTCACATAGGGCTTTTCTCAACAAAAGACGGGCAATTAACAAGCAAATGAAAATGCAATCGCATACGAATACGAATAGGTTTTTACTATTTATATTTCTATAAGAGCAGTTTACCCAGGCAGAAATCGATCGGAATGTGAGAGGGGTCGAATAGACTGCGTAGATTAGTCCCCAGACTGGCCGGGCGGCAAATAGTGCGAGCAGTGAAGCGTGGGACGTGCTGACACTTTCACAACACACCAGGGGCAGACGATAGAGCGGTACACCAGCAGGTAAGCTGATGACAATTACACTTTAAAGTACCGATTTGTTTTACACAATCTGTTTAATGTTGTGTTTATGAAATCATGTGCTGGCTTAGAAATGGTGGTTTTGTTAGTGTCTGGTGGTTTTGTCTGTTGGTGTCTGTTGGTTTTGTCTGTTGGTTTTGTCTGTTGGTGTCTGGTGGTTTTGTCTGTTGGTGTCTGGTGGTGTCTGTTGGTTTTGTCTGTTGGTTTTGTCTGTTGGTGTCTGGTGGTTTTGTCTGTTGGTTTTGTCTGTTGGTGTCTGGTGGTTTTGTTTGTTGGTTTTGTCTGGTGGTGTCTGGTGGTTTTGTCTGTTGGTTTTGTCTGTTGGTTTTGTCTGTTGGTGTCTGGTGGTTTTGTCTGGTGGTGTCTGTTGGTGTCTGGTGGTTTTGTCTGGTGGTGTCTGGTGGTTTTGTCTGGTGGTGTCTGGTGGTGTCTGGTGGTTTTGTCTGTTGGTGTCTGGTGGTGTCTGGTGGTTTTGTCTGTTGGTGTCTGGTGGTTTTGTCTGGTGGTGTCTGGTGGTTTTGTCTGTTGGTGTCTGGTGGTTTTGTCTGGTGGTGTCTGGTGGTTTTGTCTGGTGGTTTTGTCTGGTGGTGTCTGGTGGTGTCTGGTGGTGTCTGGTGGTTTTGTCTGTTGGTGTCTGGTGGTGTCTGGTGGTGTCTGGTGGTGTCTGGTGGTTTTGTCTGTTGGTGTCTGGTGGTTTTGTCTGTTGGTTTTGTCTGTTGGTGTCTGGTGGTTTTGTCTGGTGGTGTCTGGTGGTTTTATCTGTTGGTGTCTGGTGGTTTTGTCTGTTGGTGTCTGGTGGTGTCTGGTGGTTTTGTCTGTTGGTGTCTGGTGGTTTTGTCTGGTGGTTTTGTCTGTTGGTGTCTGGTGGTTTTGTCTGTTGGTGTCTGGTGGTTTTGTCTGTTGGTTTTGTCTGTTGGTGTCTGGTGGTTTTGTCTGTTGGTTTTGTCTGTTGGTGTCTGGTGGTTTTGTCTGTTGGTGTCTGGTGGTTTTGTCTGGTGGTGTCTGGTGGTTTTGTCTGTTGGTGTCTGGTGGTTTTGTCTGGTGGTTTTGTCTGGTGGTGTCTGGTGGTTTTGTCTGGTGGTGTCTGTTGGTGTCTGGTGGTTTTGTCTGTTGGTGTCTGGTGGTTTTGTCTGTTGGTTTTGTCTGTTGGTGTCTGGTGGTTTTGTCTGTTGGTGTCTGGTGGTGTCTGGTGGTTTTGTCTGTTGGTTTTGTCTGTTGGTGTCTGGTGGTTTTGTCTGTTGGTTTTGTCTGTTGGTGTCTGGTGGTTTTGTCTGGTGGTGTCTGGTGGTTTTGTCTGTTGGTGTCTGGTGGTTTTGTCTGGTGGTTTTGTCTGTTGGTGTCTGGTGGTGTCTGGTGGTTTTGTCTGTTGGTGTCTGGTGGTTTTGTCTGGTGGTGTCTGGTGGTGTCTGTTGGTTTTGTCTGTTGGTGTCTGGTGGTGTCTGGTGGTTTTGTGTGTTGGTGTCTGGTGGTTTTGTCTGGTGGTGTCTGGTGGTTTTGTCTGTTGGTGTCTGGTGGTTTTGTCTGGTGGTTTTGTCTGTTGGTGTCTGGTGGTTTTGTCTGTTGGTGTCTGGTGGTTTTGTCTGTTGGTTTTGTCTGTTGGTGTCTGGTGGTTTTGTCTGTTGGTTTTGTCTGTTGGTGTCTGGTGGTTTTGTCTGTTGGTTTTGTCTGTTGGTGTCTGGTGGTTTTGTCTGTTGGTGTCTGGTGGTTTTGTCTGTTGGTGTCTGGTGGTTTTGTCTGGTGGTGTCTGGTGGTTTTGTCTGTTGGTTTTGTCTGTTGGTGTCTGGTGGTTTTGTCTGTTGGTTTTGTCTGTTGGTTTTGTCTGTTGGTGTCTGATGGTTTTGTCTGGTGGTTTTGTCTGTTGGTGTCTGGTGGTTTTGTCTGGTGGTGTCTGGTGGTTTTGTCTGGTGGTTTTGTCTGGTGGTGTCTGGTGGTTTTGTCTGGTGGTGTCTGTTGGTGTCTGGTGGTTTTGTCTGGTGGTGTCTGGTGGTTTTGTCTGGTTTGTCTCTTGTTGTCTGTTGGTGTCTGGTGGTTTTGTCTGTTGGTGTCTGGTGGTGTCTGTTGGTGTCTGTTGGTGTCTGGTGGTTTTGTCTGTTGGTGTCTGGTGGTTTTGTCTGGTGGTTTTGTCTGTTGGTGTCTGGTGGTTTTGTCTGGTGGTGTCTGGTGGTTTTGTCTGTTGGTTTTGTCTGTTGGTGTCTGGTGGTTTTGTCTGTTGGTTTTGTCTGTTGGTGTCTGGTGGTTTTGTCTGGTGGTGTCTGGTGGTTTTGTCTGGTTTGTCTCTTGTTGTCTGTTGGTGTCTGGTGGTTTTGTCTGTTGGTGTCTGGTGGTGTCTGTTGGTGTCTGTTGGTTTTGTCTGTTGGTGTCTGGTGGTTTTGTCTGTTGGTTTTGTCTGTTGGTGTCTGGTGGTTTTGTCTGGTGGTGTCTGGTGGTGTCTGGTGGTTTTGTCTGTTGGTTTTGTCTGGTGGTTTTGTCTGGTGGTGTCTGGTGGTTTTGTCTGTTGGTTTTGTCTGTTGGTGTCTGGTGGTTTTGTCTGGTGGTGTCTGTTGGTGTCTGGTGGTTTTGTCTGGTGGTGTCTTGTGGTTTTGTCTGTTGGTGTCTGGTGGTGTCTGGTGGTTTTGTCTGTTGGTGTCTGGTGGTGTCTGGTGGTTTTGTCTGTTGGTGTCTGGTGGTTTTGTCTGTTGGTGTCTGGTGGTTTTGTCTGGTGGTGTCTGGTGGTGTCTGTTGGTTTTGTCTGTTGGTGTCTGGTGGTGTCTGGTGGTTTTGTCTGTTGGTGTCTGGTGGTTTTGTCTGGTGGTGTCTGGTGGTGTCTGTTGGTTTTGTCTGTTGGTGTCTGGTGGTGTCTGGTGGTTTTGTGTGTTGGTGTCTGGTGGTTTTGTCTGGTGGTGTCTGGTGGTTTTGTCTGTTGGTGTCTGGTGGTTTTGTCTGGTGGTTTTGTCTGTTGGTGTCTGTTGGTTTTGTCTGTTGGTGTCTGGTGGTTTTGTCTGTTGGTTTTGTCTGTTGGTGTCTGGTGGTTTTGTCTGTTGGTGTCTGGTGGTTTTGTCTGTTGGTGTCTGGTGGTTTTGTCTGGTGGTGTCTGGTGGTTTTGTCTGTTGGTTTTGTCTGTTGGTGTCTGGTGGTTTTGTCTGTTGGTTTTGTCTGTTGGTTTTGTCTGTTGGTGTCTGGTGGTTTTGTCTGGTGGTTTTGTCTGTTGGTGTCTGGTGGTTTTGTCTGGTGGTGTCTGGTGGTTTTGTCTGGTGGTGTCTGTTGGTGTCTGGTGGTTTTGTCTGGTGGTTTTGTCTGTTGGTGTCTGGTGGTTTTGTCTGGTGGTTTTGTCTGTTGGTTTTGTCTGGTGGTGTCTGGTGGTTTTGTCTGGTGGTGTCTGGTGGTTTTGTCTGGTGGTTTTGTCTGGTGGTTTTGTCTGGTGGTGTCTGTTGGTGTCTGGTGGTTTTGTCTGGTGGTTTTGTCTGTTGGTGTCTGGTGGTTTTGTCTGGTGGTTTTGTCTGTTGGTGTCTGGTGGTTTTGTCTGGTGGTGTCTGGTGGTTTTGTCTGGTGGTTTTGTCTGGTGGTGTCTGGTGGTTTTGTCTGGTGGTGTCTGTTGGTGTCTGGTGGTTTTGTCTGGTGGTGTCTGGTGGTTTTGTCTGGTGGTGTCTGGTGGTGTCTGTTGGTGTCTGGTGGTGTCTGGTGGTTTTGTCTGTTGGTGTCTGTTGGTGTCTGGTGGTTTTGTCTGTTGGTTTTGTCTGTTGGTTTTGTCTGTTGGTGTCTGGTGGTTTTGTCTGGTGGTGTCTGGTGGTTTTGTCTGGTTTGTCTCTTGTTGTCTGTTGGTGTCTGGTGGTTTTGTCTGTTGGTGTCTGGTGGTGTCTGTTGGTGTCTGTTGGTGTCTGGTGGTTTTGTCTGGTGGTGTCTGGTGGTTTTGTCTGTTGGTGTCTGGTGGTTTTGTCTGGTGGTTTTGTCTGTTGGTGTCTGGTGGTTTTGTCTGGTGGTGTCTGGTGGTTTTGTCTGGTGGTTTTGTCTGGTGGTGTCTGGTGGTTTTGTCTGGTGGTGTCTGTTGGTGTCTGGTGGTTTTGTCTGGTGGTGTCTGGTGGTTTTGTCTGGTGGTGTCTGTTGGTGTCTGTTGGTTTTGTCTGTTGGTGTCTGGTGGTTTTGTCTGGTGGTAAATGTTGGCTTTGTATCTTTAAGAAAGATGATTTAGTCATTAGCTTTACGAGTGCTGTAAAACCATGTCTCTCGAAGTTGAAGTTTATGTGTATGTGTACACACAGTAAACAATGCTAGATGGCCCATTGTTGCTGGCCACTGGTTGTTGGCCCCTGGTTGTTGGCCTTTGATTGTCTCTAACAAGTGTATGGGATCACTAGAGAGGACTGTTACGTTCGCCTTACCTTCACTTTTCCATTCATTTTTTAGCTGCTATTTAGTAATGTTTGTGCACCACTTCATAGGACTGACATTAAAAACGTTCAATTACCATTATAGGCTGATATTTAGACAGTTGTTTTCAAATTTTCTGACAGTTTGTCTCGCACGAAAAAATAAATATAGACATTGGCACCTTTCCAGGCACCCACACTCTTATATATATTATTATTCCAGTATTACTACTTGGCTTCAATTTATGCCGTGTCAATGTATTTATCAAACTAATTTCTTTTAATTATATAATTTGTAATGACAAGCTTTTGCTTGATACGCTTTGTTAGAATAAACGTCGTACCGTTGGTTGTTTCTACATTGTAAATCTGTTTCGAGTTCAGCATACAACACCATAAGAAGGGAGGTAACGAAAGAAGGGCACCTTAAAGCGGAAGTGATCTCCCCTAAACTTTCTCGAATATACTTATATAACACTACGGGAGGGGGTGGCAACTCGTGATATAGACATGATTTTTAATCAACTTTTAATTAATTAAACTTTTTAAAACTTTTTAGAATAGAATCTTCGTAGAAAAAGAATATTTGAGAAATCGAAAATACCGTAAAGTACACACTTCCGGTAAACGAAAATTAAA